GTAGTACGTTCTCTCTCTCTCTCTCTCTCTCTCTCTCTCTCTCTCTCTCTCTCTCTCTCTCAGGATAAATGCTTGTTAAACATAACGATAAGCGTAAATAATGCAGAGAAGCATCTTGTAACGAATCTAGTCCACAGTAAATCAGGGCAGCGTAAAAATACCCATCGTACTCTCGTCACAGAGTACTCTCGTACTTTAAATTATAGTAAGTTCTACGTATCCACAAGACTCACATTGACGTAAGTACAAGTTGTAACTAGTAAGGGGATGTTTCTTATTTTTTTTCTTCTTGCTTTTTAATTTTCACTACTATTGGGATATATCAAACTACTAAAAATATTCAACGTCGAATATTTACTGTTACGTATCGAGAAAAATCATTTGAATAGATATTGGATTAATCCGAGTTGAGGATTTTTACTCTCATATCACGTTTCGAGGTGCAGCCGTTAATTTACCTCGTTTAACGTGTGTGTGAGACCTATTTTTTTTTTTTCCAAAAAACAGCCAGAATTTTTTGTCACAACAATTACGGTTATACAAAGATTTATGAGTGGCTAGACAATGAAATGTTTAAAACTGTAAAACTCGATATTCTACTGTTATTTCTTTTTAGCACGATAGCATTATTGTATGTTACGCATTATTGTATGTTACGCACGAGTATCACTAGCATACTTTTGTAGGGTGAGTTTTACTATTTTGCTAGTTTGAAATAATCATCGACATGTTGATTGCATTTATATTGCACACTTATGTAATAAATTATGTAATAAATTATAAATAAACACGGTTGACGCATAAATACGATAATTTCATCGAGTGTTTATTCCTTTTTCCTTACAGCATATATATGTCGTCAGTATACGCGTAATCAATCTGTTAGATCGAAAGAATATGAAGTGAAATGAAATAAAGATAAACTGGAATAAATGAATAAAATGATCTCCCGTCCCCATCTCTGGGTCTCCTTCATCATCGAAACGCAAAGACTCTCCGTGTGCAACGAAAGAGGAAAGCTGCACTGCACCTTCCGCATACCAATGTAATTGAATCACGCATTCTTAAACGATCTTGTTTCTGGTTCACGTGGGAAAGCAACAATAATAGAGTAGCGTCCTTTCATTGCCCGTTGCTCGATGTGGCTCGCTGTATCTCGCGAGCTTGTACGTTTTACGACACGCTCGTATAGTTTGCTAGTACTTTCATTTTACCTTTAGTTCGCGCCGCTCGTAAAATGTCGGCGCAACGTCATCCTCGAGCACTCAGCAGCACTGACATCCGACTCGCGGATATAATCGTACGTAGTGATCATACGCGATACGCGTCTAGATTAAAAACCAGTCACCGCGACCGCGGCCCGATTTTACTGTCGCGCGTTATTGATATTATTATTATTACAAACGCGTCATCGTCTAAATACGATGCGAGACACATTCCTCGATACACACGTATAGCGCCGTGTCCTTTTACGCCCTACCTATCATCTTTTAATTTTACCGCTGACGCACGTTGAAAATTGAAATGTTGCAAAAACCAGCCATCTTCTTCTTCTTCTTCTTCTTCTTCTTCTTCTTCTTCTCTTAAATCTCCCGGGACGCGCAACATCCCGTTACGATGATGCATATATTTTTAAAGAACATATATGCCTATATTATAGCACGCCATACATATATAATATTGCAACATTTTTACATACTTGATACATACTCGATATACATATTTTCCGTTAACGTGACGTTTACGGATGACGTGAGTGGACGCAGTCACGTGTAAATCCTGGGCGTCCCGTTTTCTGCCGCTGTAAAGTACAACAACGCACCCTTCGCGCCGTTCGATGAAATCTCAAGCGTAATATTCAGCGATATGCAAAACGGTTGCTTCGGTCAGCTGTAATCGCGCGGAAAATCGAACGCGGCCAAGCCGCGCAGGCTCTTCCGGCGCGGCTTGGCGCGTTTGAGGCATCTCGCGTAAACGACGACGATGTTTAATTCCCCTCTCGAAGGCAACGGTCGGCTATCTGGTTTCTCGCTACGTCTTATATCGCAATCGCCGACGTAGCCGAGGTATCATCGGAATCATCTCGCGAATTAAACCTACTGAAACTTAATAAACCCTTCACGAAGGATTAGCCTGTTTCCTCTTCCCTTTTTTACACTTCTACTTTACTGCCGTTGACAAAAATATGCCGGGGAAAATAGAAAGATGGATTATATACGGAAAAATCACATCTCGTTTATTCATTAGAATTTATTATTTATAAAATACGGTTACATTATTGTAGCTCTCTGATAAAAGATAATCCCCTTGACGAGGTAATCCTTTTCAGGCTGAGGGAATTTATGGTCACGTTATCATTTCTTCCATTTCTCGCCATTGTCGTAACCCAACTTGAATAAATCCTTCAAAACGACGTTGAACATTACGGTAACAGCTCCCACAACTCTCATACGTGTGACTGAAATATTTCGAAATAGACACAATTTAAAGGCAAAAGCATTAGCGGCAGAGTGAAAAGAATCTTCCGCGCGTCGAAAAGCTTCAGAAGTTAATGAACTTTTGAAAGTACGGTTATTATTAAGAATATTAACGTCGCGAAAACCTTCTCGCCGAAATGCAGAAAATTCTACAATATCTCGAAAAGTTCGACGTAACTCGATCGGCCTTTATATCATTAATGTCATCTATAAGAGATTAAGCGGAGATATGAGGAAAAAAAATATTTTTGTCTTTTCCTTTTTTTATTATTAAAATTATCTCTCTCAGAAATTATCTTTCTTAAATCTTTTTGACCAACTCTTTTTTGCTCCGATGCTTTTTGCACCGAAAATGCTCGGTCGTCTGGTAAGAAAATGAAACTTAATTTCATAACTCGCGAATACGATATTATTGATTATACTCCATTACAGTTCCAGCCTCCCGGATGTAATTAATTTAACACCAATAGCACACTAACGAGGAAACGTCCTGATGCATTTCCTTACGTTCTCTGCCGCCGCCGGTTGCCAATATGGCGGGATCAATTAATTCCGGTCTTCTGCCGGTTAACCACTCCACGAACTGCTGCAGCATGGATGACGATTCCGGTACGTAGATTGAGACCCTTTCGAAATTTTCAGATTTTTGAGTATTAGAAATAATCGCGATCGAAGGACGATGGGTGAAATTGTAAAGGGTACGTGCCACGGGAAACTGACGCAGATACGGAGTTACGATCGATATCCATTTTCAACGAAGGCCTAGCCTTTGGGTGTCATTCGCAACGGTAAGGAATAAAGATTTAGTGATTTTCTGCATCGCACATATCACCCAGCACTCCCGCAAATTTCATTTCTTCGCATCGAATATGTTGACCGTTACAATGCCGCCATTTTTCCAAACGGAGTCGAGCACTGTTTCATAGTTTTTGAAATCAGAAAATATTGCAGTTTATACAGTTGACTTTCTCGTGAGTGTAACAATAACAAAAAATTCAATTCCAGCTATTGTACATCTATTTTCTTGTTAAATGATAAATTTGAAGAAAATCTGTTATTTTCTTTACAGAAATTTATTTTAAAAGAAATTTATTAGTCTCTCTCTCTCTCTCTCTCTCTCTCTCTCTCTCTTTCTCTCTCCTTTCCCGCCTCTCTCTTTCTGTGTTTGTTTTTGTTTTTAATTCGATTGTATACATTCACTATCGCGTCATATACTATGAAAAAAATATTTTTCCGAGAAATCCTGAACGAATTTACGAATACACGCGGCACGGACTAACGAACAATGCGTTACATACAGAACAACGTAGAAATGAAAAATATTTTCTTCCAATGTATGCGATACGTGCGATGCATGTAATAGGAAATGTTTATCTCAAACGCGACAGATATAAGTTCGAAACTCGCAAAAAACATCGGAAAACACAGCACGATAGAGGGAGAACATACCGAATTATGCATATTTTTGAAATACGCAAGTAGAAGGAAATATTATTTTTGTCAAGTATCATCAATTTTTTTTAAATATAATGTCATTTTTTAACAATGTCATTTTGTGAACGTTTTCGTGAAAAAGCGAAAAAGTGACGTTTCCGGGCCACTGAAAATTTGAAATTTATTTTCGTTTGCTGATCGATAGCTGGGCTTGAAGGAATTTTACCAAAGGTCAACAACGAAAAATAGAGCTGTTCTATAAATCAATGAATAATATAATGCACTCTCGACCTTTCTTAGGTGTAATTCGTCTCGGTCACAAGACATAAAACAAACATCTTCAAGAGAAAAATCGTGAAGATTAAGATGAAAATTTAACGTATTCGTATATCTTTGAAATTGCGTTTCCAGTTGCTTTCTTTTTAATATTGAAAAAATGATTTATTAAAGTGAATTATTATTAATCAATGAATAATTATAAATATATTTAATTAACATAATTAAATTATGTATATTACGGTTTTTATGTACATTCTTATTGTGCATGTTTTCTTCATTTATCCTGTCGTTTGTAATAAATACCTTTTCTCATGATGTCCCGTTCTCAGAGGCAAATGACACACTCCATATCCTCTAATAACATCATGACCAAAAATATCTAGGCCATAAATTGACATGATAAGCTGCGGCCCTATATGACAAATTACATTTGATTTCTTATATAAATTAAAAATATTAAATGTAATAAAGATACAGAAAAAACAATTTTGCATATGTTTATTTTTTCTTTATAATATGCGAATAATTTTTGCGCATTACTTACATCCATGTGGATTTGTACTCTTAAACGTAATATCTAATGGAAAATTCCAAACGATGAGATTTCTCGGATCATTGCTGCATTTACACATTTGTGTCAGTCCTTCTTCGATTCCCTATAAAAAAAATATATTCCGATAATTAATTCATATTTAATTTAAATATAAATTGATTCAATTTATTAGTTAATAATATCTTAAAAAATAAAGTATTATGAAAATTCGTATCAGGAGAGTATCTTTGTAAAAGATTTTTGGAGCTCTAGGTGCAAAAGAGGAAGCGTTCTGTTCTGTTCACAAAATATTAAGGAAAAATAAAACAGAATTAAAAATGCAAAACTTATAATATTAATTATTATAATATTTATTATATAATGCAAAACTTATAATAAGCAAAACTTATAATATTTGCAATAATATTACAATTAAATTAAATTAAATTAAATTAAATTAAATTAAATTAAATTAATTATTAATATTACCATATCATAATTAAAATGAATCACTACAATTTTTAATTAATATAGATTGACAATTGTTATTTTTGACCGAAATTTCGAAAGTCCTTAAGTTCAATAAAAGCATTGATGCCATACTTGCTGTTTCCCTTGCACAAATAATCATATAAAATAATTAGAGGAAAGATGCAAAATAAAAGTGCAAAATAGAAAATTAATTAAAAATCTGCTTCATTTTTAAACATTTTACTTTCTATTCGAGATTACAATAGACAAAGAGGAATTATGATATAATTAATATATTCTCTACACTATTAGTCTTACAATCGACATTTCAAGAACTTCAAAGAATTTTTATTATAACATCAGAAACGAGGAAATTAAAACATTATTCATAGTTGTTTCTCAGAAAATAAAAATTCTTTGTTTGTTCATTAGAATAAAACAAAAAATGGGAGTCTCGATTTTTCTATTTCTATTTATAGCATTAATGATTGTCACGAAATAAAGGAAATTTGATAAACATTTTTTGCAAAAAATATAAACTAAAAAGAAGAGAGAGAGAGAGAGAGAAAGAGAAGTACATAGAGAAAAAAGTACATCAAAAATATATAAAAAAAAAATAATTTTTTTTTATTTTTTTAAAACATAGATAAATAAAATCATCACTTTACTTTATTTTGTGTATCATTAGAACGTTCATTATGTTATTTAATTAATTAAATTTTCCAGAACTACAAATAACGTAAAACAATTTATTATTAATAGAACGCACTAATTAATGTAATATGATTATTATTTGAATAAATTTATTTTAAATAATCTATAAATTTGGAAAATTTAATTACAATTGAATTTTAAAAAAGCCATAAATATATAATTTATATATACGCAATAATTTATCGGCAGCAAAAACAAAAATAAAAAAATACAAAGAATAGAATAAGAATTGAATTTTGTATTTAATTAAATAAAATTTAAATATAAAAATCAAAATTTAATAATTGCAGATTTTTATCAAAGAAATACTTTATACTCTAAGCATACGCGATACAGAAGGTTATACGAGGTTTTTCCTCTTGAGTTTTTCTCTTCTCGTAATCCAATATAATTGCAAAGTGCCCTAGATTTCTTTGCGACAATTATAAAATATTTTGTTCCTGCCGACTTTTTTCTGTTACAGAAGAGCTTACCGCAACGACGCTCCAGTTTGGTCCAAAATGGAAGCTATACTTGCAATAAGCGTTATTGACATCGTAGAACTCTGCATGCTCGAGAGAACCAGTAACGGAAAGATAGAATTGTTCTTCCTCTGACATATTCGTTGAAAGAAATCAATTTGAATTCCTTTTTAAAGAATGATATACGGATAAATCGCGATTTGTAAAACAATTGAGACTCTTCACTCTCTGTTTACATGTTAAACTACAAGCCGTTGCCATGGAAATGACGCTGGTGTGTATTACGGTTAGGGTGACCAAACTGCTTGACCAGAAAAAAAATACGAGAGAAATCAATCAAAAATGGTGAAGAAACGGGGAGAGAAAAAGAGAGAAAACTGAATCGAAGATCAAAATTTTATACATTTTTTTTATTGACATAAGCTTGCAAAGCTAAACAATATTTATTTTTGTATCTAAAATATTTCGTAAAATATAAAATAAAATTACATTTACATATTTAATGTAATTAATTAATTATTTTATAATAACCTTTTAATGTCAAACACGCATAGAATAAGTCTTCGAGTCTATAACAAATCAATGTAATTGATGCTGTTCCTGAGGTTTATTCTTTTCCGCTGTACCAGCAGCGAAAAAGAATATACTAATGTTAATCCTCTTGATATATGATTCTATTACATTTAAATTTGCTTGAAAAACCAAAAAAGAATGCGAAAAAAATTTAAAAAAAATCAAAAATATTTGTAGTTTTTTTCTAATTCAAAAAGAATACACGTACTATAAAAGGATACGTTTAGTCGCTCTTTTTATGATAAAATTTATGTCAGATTACGGATTAGAATCGAGATTAAATTGGAATTTAATTATTAAAAAGCACAAAAATGAATCAATCTTAAGTTTAATGAACTCTATTATATTTATTTTGGATTGGTCAAATTCTAATCTACTCTCAAATTTCCATAATCTCAAATTTTGATCCATAATCTAATACGGGTTTAATACATGCATGATTGCATATGAAGGGATCGTTCTCTCAAAATTCTTTTTTTTTATTATTTTTATACCATATACAAATTTTTTAAATATTCGTAAATTAGTTTTTATTCTAGATTAAAGTGATTGTTCTTAGTTTATCTAACTTAGGTTATCTAATAATAATAAT